GATTATTGCTCCGAATCTCGAGAAAACATTACATAAACACGTGCAATGTCATGACAATTTTGTATCCAAATCCGCAATAAAACGAGGTCCCTAACCCTTAAAAAGGGTTTTTTTTTAAAGATACTGTCACAGGAGATGGCATATCGCCATTAGAAGCGCTTGTTTAAGGCAATTTGAAGAATATTATGAGCAAATATTGCTAAATTCAATTTGGAAATGGACCTCAGGGATAAAGGACAAGTGAAACGTAATAAGAATTAGGAATACTTTGATATTAAATTTGTCCGATGGCCGATGAGAAAAAATAAGTTTAGTAATGACTTGTTTATTTAAAAAAATACCGACCTCAAAAGTTTGCCTATTGTCTTTTTTATTGAAATAACATCTATTTGCCAAGTTTTATAGGTTAAGTGCGCGAAACCGGATTCATCTCTTAGGGTCGTATTCTAGAACTCTACTCAATGCTCAAGTCAGGATTTGAGTATGGTTTAAAGCGCTCGAAATCATACTCAAGTCCCTACCATTAGGGTCGTATTTCCAGTGCTTGTGTTTCCAGTGCAATCCTGACTTAAGCATTGAGTAGAGATCTAGAATACGACCCTTAGTTTGCCACCCTTAGAGGTACAATATTTTCTTCAAATTTAAATGTAGCCAATACTGAAATACCCTCTTTCCAACAAAAAAAAATCGCCAAAATCATTCACAAATAATCGCCGGAGTAATCGCGTAACATACACATAAAAAAATACAGTCGAAATGAGAATCTCTTCCTTTTTTGAAGTTGGTTAAAAAAAGGAAAATAAACAAAATTATGAGTATATGTATACGTACATATATGGTAATAAACGATTTTTTTTATTTACAAGGTGTTAGAAACCTACCGCAACAATAGACATTAAACAGGTTTTATTAATACAAAAATCGAACACAAAGTAAAATTCCATCAATCTGATTGGACTCGAACCTACGTCTGTGCCATACCAGAAGCACCACTCTACCAACTGACTACTACAGCTTGTCAGCAGACCCTACGAATTTTTCTAAGCGTTATCTTCGTTTTTGGACTAACGTATTTTTGCCATAGCGCTATCTGTGAGAAATCTATGAAAGTTTTTCTTTTTTTATATAATAATAACAACATACGGGACAAACAAGTCATGTGCCTGGTGATAAGCGACACGCCTGTCCATAACAATTGCAACTCAGAACCTTAAACCGCAAACACCTGAGGGGCACTGCCACTGTGTCCATCACCCTGAGACAAAAGTTGACAAGTCCCAATTTATTACAATCAATATTAAACACGTTATTTGACATGTAAAACAGAGTAAATTTGACAAGAAAAAAAATTTGTTGTCCATACGAATACTTACCAATCAGTCAATATAGCACAGTTCTATCGATCAGGTCGACTACCTTACATCTAAGTAAACATTGTAATACCGTAAACAATTCAATATTGAATGTATATTACAGAATTTTTAATGGTAAGAAATCACAATAATTTTAATGACCCGAAGTTAGAATTCACAACGTCAAAAAACAAAAAACGAAACACATAAAAAGTGCATTTAAAAGTAATGCCAATCATCTCTTATAAATAACTCAAAAGTCGATTTTTTTTTTGTTACCAAAAAAAACGTATAGTGAATTATGGAAATACCTTACACCCAGCAAAAAATATGCAAGAATTACGTAGCAAAAAAACAACCACGACTTTGTGCCTAATTAAGATAGACCGGCGAACATAGAACAATTCATAAAGTTTAAATCGCGTAGAGCCCATCTGAGAGATAAGTTTAAAGAAGTTAACATTCTTACACTCAATTTGTTATATCGATTGGCAAATTCTTTCATGCCATTGCCATCATGGGCCAAAACAACCGCGATTTACATTAAAAAAAAAACAAAATCTAAAACACAATAGTAACAGTTTTCTTTTTATAATAGGATAAAGGAAGAAGTTAGTTAACATGTACCACCACAGTTGGTGCTAGCGATCGTGTAAAAATAACAACCACAATTTTGATAAAAAAAGACAAACACTAAATGACACAGTGTGTGACCGACTTTTTTTTATAATGCCACGAAATACAAGAAAGCATTTGTCAGCCTCTACTCTGTACTCTCAGTAACAGTTGTCGCTACAGACCGCGTAAAATATCTGACAACTTTTAACCGACTTCAAAAAAAGAAGGCTCTCAATTCGACTGTTTGTTATTTTTGTGTATGTTACGCAATTAGTCCGACGTTTGTGAACCGATTTCGATTATTCTTTTTTTGTCGGAAAAAGGGTACCTCAGTAATAGTATCATTCAAATTTGAAGAAAATATTCCACTTCGAAGGGTGGAAAATATGGGATGAATCCCGTTAATTGAATTTCATCCACTTTCCATTGACCGATTTCAGTAAAACTTAGCAAATAGATGAAGTCCATATACTTTTGAGATTTCGGTTTTTTATAAAAAAAAAAATATATAATTATGCATGGCAAAGTATACAACGCCCCTTAGGGCGAATTAATTGGGCGCGAATTTCAACGCGCTCACCCCGCGCGGCCGCCGCGCTTTCGCCGAGCGGAGTCCGCATTGCCGCTGCGCAGCGCCACGTGCATCTGTCATGGCAAAATACGCTCTATTCGTTTAGCTTTACGTTTTAACTTAAATGAGCGTCCCGTGCATGCGAGCGAATTTGGCTTGAATTTGGTCTACGCGGCGGCCGGGCGGTTTTATTATTCAGAGGAATCTAAATGGTGTTGCCTAGTAAATAGAATTCAGATTCGCCTTTAATGTAAAAATAAATAAATAAATAAATAACGCACACACTCAACATAGCCCCGCACTAGGGAAACCCTGTGTCGCGGGTACCATGGACACACGCATAGACAACCACAAATTACACCCAAACTCACGAGAGAAATAATTGTAGGCCATACAACTATTTCTCTCGGCCCGGGAATCGAACCTGGGACCTCTGCGTGGCGGTCCGGCATGGTAACCGTTCGGCCACGGAGGCAGTTAAAAAAAGGCGTGGTAACTAGGCGATCGCCGCGCGATGGCCGCGCGAAAACTTTCGCCTCGTCTAACTGGGCGCATACGACCACAAGAGCTATACATATATTTTAAACGATCGCTTATGACTGTCACTGGAAATTCATAACAGAGGTACCATTTAACGCCGTTAAACCATGTCCATTAAGTGTCCCTATATGTTTTATTCTATCAATATCATTTTGCTGTCGTCCTGGGTTATACATGATGCATAAATCTTTTACAATATGCGATTTTAGTCAACACGTGCTAAATACCTTTTTCTGTTGTTCAGTAAATAGCATGAACAATAACTTTCAATTAGATGTAATAAAAAACGCAAAAATAACATTATAATCTTAACTGATTTTGAGCTTACTGTTTACGACGTAAGATTCTTATTCAAGTACTTTGAAAGCTTTTTTTTTATGACTTGGGTAAGCGAATGCTTTTCTGATTGAAATTAAAGAGGATTTGAATTAATTCGTATAAATTGAATATAATCGTGAAAAGGTCGACAGGAATGTGGAAAGGGATATAATTTTTAATCGCCATCCTTTTTGTGAACCTGTAGCCTTCGTTAATTTTAACTCAAAGACCCTTTTGGATGGCATTATACTAAATAAGTATGTAATTAGAAATTATAAAAAGGGTACGATGGTAATTGAAGTTACTAACATAAATTTAATGTAATGAATGATGTGCTTAAAATAAACGCAACGTTATTTAAATTTCAAATCTATACAGGGTAATTTGTAAAATACTAAAAACTTCCCAGGACTATATTAGTAACATCATAAACAACACCTTCGTTCCATGACTTTTTACCATCGAATATATAACCAGGTACAAGCGTTGGCATTGAACTAGTATTTATGCTAGCGCTTCTTCTTTCTCTTCATCATCTTTTGTTACCGCACTAAGTTATCACAGTTTAGAGCGATCCATTTTTTTTTATATTTGTACGAAAGTCAAATCATATGAATTACTAAATAAAAGTCATGGCACAAATAGTAGTAATACAGTCCTGCGAGGTTGTTAATGTTGTAAAATTACCTTATGCATATAAAAGAGTATTTTTAAAAGAATACTCTTATACTATACCCATAGTACAGGGTGTTATCTAGTTTCTAGCTGTTATTAACGCGTCTGGCATCCTACAAAAAAACATTTTCAAAATACGTAGCTATAGTAACTGCTGTAGGCGCAAAAGTCTTTACGATTTCTGTGGCTGTAGGGATAGCACGACAGGGCGCGACTAACGTGAGAGCGATATAAAGGGCGAGATAATGCTATTCCGCTAGGCCTACGACGATAAGGCGCGAATTGCGCGAGAACGGCATAGAAGCGCGAGTTATTGCTATTATCTATGGGAGTATATTTTGATGATTCTTTTTTGTTGGAAAGAGGGCACCTCAGAAGTGGTCCCATTTAAATTGGAAGAAAATATTCGACCTCTAAGGGTGGTAAACTGGGGGATGAATGACTTTTGAGGTCGGTTTTTTTATTACTCTCTACTGAGGTTAGGTTATTAAAATTATTGTTCAATGTTATTTCAACAAACTGTTAAACTAATCAATACGTTTTCTTTTTAAATACTATAATATTTATTATATAGATAAAAAAATATTTTCATTACATTTCATAACCATCAAAATCTACGCTGTGTCTATTGAAGTAAAACCAGCGTCACAGCCTATTCTCGGCTGTGGCTTTAGCTGAATGAGATCATTTTGCATATGCCACAGCGGAACACATGACAGTATAATAACAAGTTATGTGGTAAAAATGGTTGTGCAAAGTGTGTGTGTTTGCCACGTTGTTTTTGTGTTATTTTTGTCTTTATTTATATGACTTTTAATGTTTTTTTTAATAATGGGGCGTTGCAATAAATGGTTTCTATTTCTATTAAGTACAAAATTCCTAAAAAACCTAAATGGGAAACAAGGGAATTACTCCGAAAGACTTACCTCAGCACTATGAGCTGGAGCTCTAAATCTGAAGACCGGCGGGGAATACGCCACCGCAGCCTTAGCAGCTGATGCTAATTGAACAGCACCCAAAGCTGCTCTGTTTCCATCGGCACAATTTGCTGGTGGCCCTCTAAGTTCTTCAATCTGAGCTCCAAGAAGCTCGTTTCTCAGTAGACATCCATATGCCAAATGGTCTCTACTCCCCCCTGTCTCGTTTCCCCCTCCGTCGCCTCTTGCTTTCTTTGCAGGCTGGTTTTCTGATCCGCGACGTATCGCTGAAAAGGAATAAATTGTTATTAGTGACAGATTATTTGGAATAAAAGCATAAGGTATTGTCAGAACCGTATAAGGAAGACTATAGTTTTCTTAAAGCATGATCGGTTGAGATTTTTGACATGATCTGATCTTATTGATTTAGGTCTGTTTGAAACCTTCCAAATTTTCGTTTCTTTAATAATAAGAATAAAAAGAAACGTGACGAGAAGGAAAATACTACAAACCATATTTATTTGGCACGAAGAATCAAATTAAATAACATCATCAATCATTTGCTATTGTATGAAAACAATAGACGCAAACCATAAACAAAGCCAACCAATAGATAATTATAGTACATTTGGGATTATTTACTCATCACCTCGACGAAACCTCACGTTTTGATTAACCTACTATTAGACGCCCGTAAATAGTTATTTCGATGCGCACGCGCGTCTGCCCCCCATGTGCTGACGGCGCGTGTCACGAAAAAAAAAAACAAAGTTATTAGCCATGACTCCTATCGTAACAATATTTAGAATAATGATTCTTCTCGGTGACATAAATTGACGTGGACAGACTTCTCTGGTTTGTCATTTATATAAATGTGGGTTTGCAAATCTTTGTTTTGGCCATGTGGCTCTGAAAGAGGTTTTAGTGCTCTGGTTTAATATTCATTGTGTCCGTAGGTAAGTTGCATTCGGGTCAATTCTGAATAGTAATGATACGATATTGAAAGGACATAAAAACGCCTCTATAGTAATTTATCTATGGTGTACGTACATAGCACTCGCAAAACACATGAATATCATAGTAGTAAAAACATCGCGATATTCAATAAAAATAAATATAACACTTAAAATATAATTACATACATATTATTATATAATACTCAATAACAACAGAAAATATAGTGTCCATAAAGCACAAAATAAGAGAAACCTGCGTCTATTGATAAATGTCTTGAAAAAGATAAGATTGATTTTTGGACGTCACTTCCAAAAGAAAATATTGAAATATTATTTGAAATGCCTATATACATTCCTAAAATAATCAACTTCAAAGACGAATGTTTTAAATAAACAGACATTTCAATTCGTCATCCACTTATCGTCAGGACATTCGCATACCACGGAACTTCACGGGAGAGATAGTCAAAAATACTTTTCTCCGTACGGTCTTTATTGACGAGCACAGATATACTGACTCAACAGCTGTAACATCCCTTTGTGAGTCAGTGTAGTATAGTGTAAGCCTTACACTGTAAGGTAACACTACTTAGATGTTGATTCATAGAACTTCCGAGCTACAGCAAGTCGATTTGTAATTTCCAAGTTGATAAGCACGATTTATATTACTGCGGAAGGGAATGAAGCGTTTTTTAGTAACGAAATTGAACATAGCATAAAAAACTTTATCAATTGTGTAACGTACAAAGTAAATACGAATTATCCGAAAGATGTGCGATCTGTTTTTCGGCTCGTATCGAGTACAATGAATACAAAAAATTCCTTCCATTCCATTCAGCGACAATGTAAATTGAGCCATTCACTTTTGTTATACTTAGGTGCAGTAATCTACTCATGTACCCAAGACACGTGATTTGCGATAAATAATATCGTTACCAAGGAAACTATAGATAACATAAAACAATCTCTAAGAGTTATCGCTAATAACGATTCGAAAATAACGGCTTCTATTCCCTTCTAGCACAAAGCTTTCTAAGAAGTTATTATGGTCATAGTACGTCCACTGTGTACTAACAAAAAACAAATCATTTCGTAAGTACCGTACACCAAGTTATTAAATTTATCAAAAGCAAACGCGACCGAAAACGTAATTATTCTGATTATAGTTTATTATCTTAACAGAAAATTGATAAAACTGAAGCAAGTTACGAAATTTGGTGTCTTGGTTTAAGGTCAGTGCACTTCCCGTACAGAGGTCGGAAGTGCATTACGAAAACTTTATAAATATAAGCATTGAATTCAATTGTTACCCACTACCAATTTTGGTTCTTCGATACGTGTGTTGAATAAATTGATTTGGCAGTTAATCGATAACTTCTAATCGGAACTTCAACACTTGATATTGTTTCCGTGACACATTCTAATTATTTATACTGCACTAAAATTCATTTCTTTGCAATGAGGTGTTCAAGCGTATGCCGATTAATAATGCAATTAAACTTGTTGAAAGCTATCAGACTTACGCATTAATTTCAGCTACTATAACTAATAAAACCGATTAAATTACACGATCGGCTGTTTGAACAACTCGGTTCGCGTCTCTACCTGAGTTCAATCACATTACATCCTGAGGGACGGTCCATACAAGGCGTTGACGACGTTATACATAGTCCGCATTTGGCAATCTACGTGACAACTGCCTGCCTATGTCTGTCTAATTAATTCTACTTCCAAATTCGTCCACATCCTCGCTGTCAGCATTATACACTGAATACCAAGGAATTAGAGCTGGTTTTAGTGTATCAGATCGAAGGTCCGCCTTTAAATGTATTTTCCTCGGAGTCCACCTACGTTTCTGCCCACATCCAATTCGCAAGAGAATGGTTTCAAATTGGCCTGAATTTCTGAATTGAATATATGGAACACTTACAAAATTACGTGAACGTAAATTATTTGAATCTATACGAATATTAAATTCTAGTCATATTTACGTCGTTTCGCAGAATTCATTTATATGAAGTCTATGAAGATGAAGCAGTACTTAAACGTAAAATCAAAGAAAGAGTAAGTTTGCTATGTTCACTGATGACTCAAAATTCCGGAGTAAAAAGCACATTGCTGGAAAAGGTAAAGATAAGGAAGAAATCAAAAGCAGTGATAATGATAACAACCAAACTGCAATGCACCAAAAGTGTGTCACAGACTTGACTGAAGTAATCTAATCGTTTTAGCAGGTAAAAAAGGGAACGGTATTTTTTGTAAGTCAAAGACACTTGTAGCCGTTGGTCTGTACCCATAACGCAAAGCATAGCGTAGCTTGGCATGTTCCATTATTAAAGATAGTATAAATAATAACCACAAATGATAAGAAAAAAACATTTTCTTTGAATAATATAGCGACTGCATATCAGATACCTTCAAATACAGGCAAACAAGGTTCCTTTACCTATGAACATTGTTAACCTGTTCGCATTTCCAACATAGTAGCATAGACAATTCAGGAACAAGTCCGCAATATTAATAGGCATTTCCTGAAATACTCAATACAACACACTGGCTAATGCCTAATAAAAACAACGCATTGGCTACAGGTGCGTACACGCAATTGTAAGTTAACCTAAATACTGTTTCCAGGGTACGTTGAGTGGGAAATAAGCACGTACTTACAAATATTCCTGCTACTTTACTACTTTGATAAACATGGAACCTAGAAACGCTCCTTGAGGAAGTACTTACATTACCTAACACTTCAAAGCGTTTGATCGTTTAGAGTGGATTGAAATTAATGGTAAATTTTACAGTGGAAAGCAATATGTTTACAAGGAAGATACTAATACATAGCAGAAATGAATAAGTAGGTCAAACGGTCTTCCACGTGTAAAGTTTCCGTTAAGTAATCGATTTGTAATTAGAACTACTATACCGATAAATGTTTACCACATTATAAAGCAAACATACAAAAGAGCCAAGCAAATGCGTCAGGTTATTCTAATAACTTTTAACCACCAGCAGGAAAATCCTAACATGATAACTAACAGATGCAATGAACAACGGTTTAAGAAAAGTAAAAATAAATTAGTGTTCGTGTAACAGCAAGAACCTAAACTTGACTGGGCTGTCTGGACTTTACTTCAGGTGAGTTTTAACCAAGACAACTTTGATAATATCGAAGTGAGGCAAAATAATAATTACGTCATGTAACACCAAATAAGCGATGTGTTTCTAGTCTAATTTCAATACACGGAAAGATTATCAATATATAAAACAACAAGTCTTAGAAAATACACCTCCGTCTACGTCTAGATCAATAACGGTACAAAATTGCACTGTTTGCATTCCAAGTAGTCTAATGCATATTGCATCTCGTTTGACAGGTTCCTTCACCTCTTTCTTAATACACACTTACAACAGTGGCTCTTCATTCAAACTAAATGTAACAATAAGTATATTCTCAACTTGTATAAAATGCACTTTATCGATTATATCGTTATCGCGTGACCCGTGGACATTTACAGTAACGCAACGCTTTTACAATTATTATTGTTGAAAAACTTGGGTCATGTTTGTTTTTCAAAACAATCCAAGTGCAGTAGAAGGTCGTTTGAACCAAACTATGCATCATACGCAAATACATAACGCAAATGTTTTGTGAGACTTATTAATATAGTTATCCTAGTGTCAACTTGAAAAACTGGTGAATAAGATTTCAAAACGCTGTGAACACTTTCAACTTTGATAAATTTCAAGAGCAATATAAACTTACAGATATGTACATCAAAGTTGATTGAATTTGATGTAGTTGTCCTTTCGTATATTTGCGTAAAAGATGTTACACGTGAATTTAAATAACGCATACACTCATAGCCCCACACTATGGTAACACTGTAACACGAGTGCCATGGACACACACAGATAGCCACAAATTACACCCAAACTCACGAGAGAAATAAATGTAGGCCATAGAAATATTTCTCCAGCCCCGGGAATCGAACCCGCAACCTCTGCGTGGTAGACCAGCATGGTAACCGTTCGGCCACGGAGGCAGGGATTTGTAAGAAACACTTGTGTAAAATAAACATGTTGGAAGAATGAATTTCAAAAGAATATGTTTCAAAGAAATTAACATTTTTGTTGTGAATTGTTCTAAGAAGATTCAAGTAAAGAAGACAACGGTATTCAAAACGCTATGGAAAACGGAAAACTCCGAGAACCTAAATATAGTACGTTGAACCGCACTAAGCAGAACGTGCGCAATAAAGCCGTTTCAGTTTGTGTTCAAAACGTCAAAACCAAGGGCGTAAATACGAACATTTTAAAATTCTTAACTAAAA